CAGCCCCTCACTCCCTCTGTAGCCCCATCCTAGGGCGTGCGGCTGGCAGGGGGTTGCCGTGGCTGACCCATACCATGGCTCTGGTGCTGGAAAACCCTCCTCATGACCCTCTGTGATGTTTGGCTCTGGCACCCCCTTCCCCACAGTGCCTTTCCACTCCCCGGTGTGTCCCAGACCCCAGCACATCCATTGCTGTGGGACGGTGCTGGGGCTGGTGACCAGGAGCCAGCTCAGCTGCCTGCACGCTCTGCCTGCAGACACGTCCCTGGGCTTGGGCAGAGCTGTTCCAAGGACACGGGTGCCACTTGTGCTCTTTGAGAGAAACCCCAGGTGGACACCACTGCCAGCATGGTCCAGAGCAGCCCGGGCAGGTGTTGGTGCTGTCAGTGTCTTCAGAGCCCTACTAGCTGGGATGGTGGCTTCAAGAGCTGCTGGCTTCTTGCTGCTGCTGCTTCTCCCCTGGGCGCAGCACCGGGGACATTGCTTAGCCCAAGGCGGTGTGATATTTGGGGCTGAAACCCCAGGGCTAGTTGAGCCCAGCTCATCTGGGACTATGAGTGGGGTCTCCAGTGGGTCTGTTTGGTGAGGGTCTCTGGTGGGGTTGTCCATGGGAGGTTTCCATGGGACATTTCCAAGGGTTTCCAAGGGTTATCCATGGGGCTCTCTAGCTGTGCACTGGGCAGGTTGTCTCCAGTCCGGCTGCCGGTGTCCCCATGCACCCCAAAGCCTGCAACCCAAAGGTGAGGTGCCCCTGGGCGACTGGATTTGCCCTTCTGGAAGCCTGCTGCCTCCAGGGAAGGTGGGATGATGGCACCGCCTTTGCTTGGCTGGGAGGCGGCGGGGAGAAATGCCATAGGTTTAAAAACACGTTTGGGGTGCTAATTTTAGGAGGCAGGTCAGGGGCAAAGCCACGGCTGTGTGCGCTGGGGGGAAGGGCAGGCCCCGCTCCCGCAGGATCGGGCTGGCTCTGCTCCCAGCACCCAGGCTCCAGGGGCTGCCCGGAGTGGGAAGCTTCTCTGTGGAAGGGCAAGGGGAGGTGTGTGGGGGTCCCTGCTGTGTGTGTCTGCCCTGCTGGGGCCAGGGAGGTCATGCTCAGGGACCCCCAAGGTTTGGGCTGTTGTCCCAGCTCTGCCTTCCTGCCCACAGCAGTGCGAGGGGCTGACTGGGGACGCCAGGCTGGGGATCACTCTGTGCTCAGCGATGGTGCCAGGGGTAACCCCAAGGCTGGGAGCTGATGGTGGTGGGGGGACATGGCTGGTGGTCTCTGCTTGCTTGCCTATGCTGCCCGTCTCTCCAGGAGTCAGCAGCACAGCCCCAAGGAACATGAGACCAGTGCGTGCCCGGCTCTGCTGAAACCTGAATGGCTGCTTGGGCAGGTGGGCATGGATGAGAGGGGGTCTTGCTGCCAGCCCCCTGGCACCCAGTGATGGCAGCGGGGTACCTGGCTGGGAGCACGCAGGGCGGCAGCTGTGGCAGGCTTGGAGCTAAAGCCGGATTACCACCCAGAATAGTCCCGCGGCCCCAGCTGGGGCGGATTAGCCAGGATTCATCTGCGGAGGAAGAGGAGATGGGGAGGGAGTCTCTGCCCTGTGGGGGTCTCTGGCCCCAGGGAACGCACATCCCCTGCCAGGGAGATGCCAGGCCTTTGCCCCCCATGGGTGAGAGCAGTGGGTGCCCACAGAGAGGTATCATAGACTGTGGGGACGTGGGGGATCCTTGCACCCTGGGCTGGTGCCATGTGGCTGGTAGTCCTGGTGTGCTGCACTCCTGCCAGCACAGTGTGCTCTGGCCAGGACTGTGCCATACCCAGGCTTGTCTGGGGGAACCACCACAGCAACAAGGACTGGGCTTTCCCAAGGAGATATGCATCCTCCTTGTCCCACTGCCGCGTGCGATGGACCTCCATCTGACAGGTCCCGCTGGCATCGCTAACAGAGCTCCCCTGCCCATAGCCACCTCCTCCTCCCTGGTTCTGGCTGTGCTTTGCTCTCAGCTTGGATTTTCCACCTTTTAAATGAAGTCTGGGTGGAAGCAAGGTGTTGGGCAGCTGGATGCAGCCCCTTCCAGGACCGGATCCCCCACCACTGTGCCCTGGTCCCCAGGGAAGGCTGGCAGGGGTGAAGGGATGTTGGAGCCCTGCCGCCCCACACACGTGTCCCCATCCCGGCGAGGGGGTGGCAGGCATCTGTGCTGGCCAGGGCATGGCGTGCGAGCCCAAGCGTAGCCTCCCCTCGCGCGCAGACGTGGCCGACGGGGACTGTACGTGCCGCCCCACGCATACGGCTCAGCGTTCCCCGCGGGGGGGCTGCGGGACAGCGCCGTGGCCTGGCTTGGACTGCCTGGCTGCGCCTGAGGGTTGGTGGGGTGGACGATGTTGCCAGTGTCACCACACAACGGGACAGCAGGAGCAGCCCCCAGGAGTGCCAAGGCTGAGTCTGCCAGGCCTGGACAGGAGAGGTGGGAGGTCTTGTCCCCTGGAGCCAGCAGGCAGAGGAGAGGCACACGCCGGGCTGTGCTCAGCACCACCAGGGATGTACACGGATGGCCCTGGGTGCCACAGCGGGGGTGTTCTGTGCCATCAGAGTGGGCAAGAGGGCCCTGGGGCGGGTGGTCAGGAGGGGGACAATGCTGGGTGGCATAGGGGTTGCCCAATGCCACAGCGAGTATGGCATCATCCCATCTGTGTGGTGGCATGGCAGCCCCATGGTGGGAAGAGATCCCTGGGAAGATGCTCTTTGCCTGGAGTGGAGGCTCCCCAGCTGAGGTAGGCTCATGGGGATGGGGTGAACCTGCCACCCCCCAACCCAGGGGGGACCCACACCACCCCCAGGGCCGTCCACCGCTCCATGTATTTACTGTTCTCTCCAGCCTTATCACAAGGCAAACAGCGACAGGCAGGGCACGCACTGCCCGATCGAAGCGTCTCCCATCTCCTCCCCTTTCATCTCTCTCCCTTCCCTGGCCACCACTGCCTGGAGACCCTGGCTGAGGGGCAAAGGCCAGGGCTGGCTGGGGAGGTGGTGGCGAGTGGTGCCAGGGCTGTGCCAGGGCTGTGGTGGGGCCGTGCCAGCGTTGCCCGGTGGGAGGAAGCGTCTGGGTGGCAGTGCGAAGCCTGGTGCATGCGAAATGAGCTCGGCCTTGCCGCTTGCTATTCCGAGAGGCGCTTGGGGGAAGAAGCTGGTATTTCCTGAGCCACCCGGAGAGGTGTAATTATAACCTGGGAGAAGAAAGGGGCTGCAGAGGAGAGTGCCCAGCCTGCTTGGCGCCTGTGGGGAAGTGGGCAGGGGGAGCGGGGCAGCTTCTGCCTGCTGCCGGTGGGATGTAGGCAGGATCCTGCCTGTGGGAAGCCCGGTGGCACTGGGGGGATTCAGGGAGGTGATGGAGCATTGGGGACATGGCAGCACCCCTCAAGCCCAGTACCAGGGGTGGCGGGTTGGGCGATGCCCGCCCGCAGCGGCAGGAAGGCGCAGAGTTAACGGCGGCGTTTGGACGTGCTGGCAGCCTTGTTCGTGCCTGGATCTGGCCCAAGTGGAGGCCTAGCAGGGGGGATAACTCATCACCCAGTGCCCGCCCTGTGCTTCACTCTCTTCCCCCGCACAGCTGAGCCTCCCTGCTCTGGTTCCCACTTGCCTGCACCCTGCCTCAGTTTCCCCACTAGGCTGGGTGTTGCAGGCAGGGTGGCCCAGCCATGTACCCCCTGCTCCAGGTGGCCCTTAGGGACTCAGCTCCCTGGCACTGCTGGTAGCTGATGCATGGCCTAGGATGACCCTGCCAGGTCTCCTTGGTGGCCTGGACAAGTAGGGACAGGCAGGACAGCATCTCAAGAGTCCAGGGTGCTGGTACCCCTGCCCCATCCTCTGCTGTGTGCCAGGGGTGCTGCTGTCCCCAGCATCCCTCTGCCCTGGCAGTGCCACAGTAAGACTCGCCTGGTCCTTGGGCTCCTGGGAGCACAAAGACAGGCATGTCTCCCACTCACCCTGTGAGGACACCTGGCACTGAGGTGATGGGACAGCGGCATCGTCCTGGGATCTGGAACCGTGCCGCATCCCTGCCAATCCTTGCCTCGGGCCAGGTGGCATCATCATTTGGCCGGACGTGGCCCCAAGGTGGACACCCTCCAAGGCGGCTGGACAGGACCCCAGCCCCCCAAGGCTTTGGGGGGGTGGTGAGGGACCCTGCCCTGGCTGCCAGCCTGCCCCAGAAAGCCACCCTGTGCCGTTTCCCAGCGGGGCGGGGAGGGACAGGGCTCGCACAGAGGCGGCTTTGTGCGGTGTGCCAAGGCGTCCTGCGCTCGTGCCCCTGCCAAGGAGCTGTCTCCCGGCCCCGCGCTCTTTCCTGCTCCGTTTGTCCAGCCTTGACGTGCCTCTGAGCCCCCTGCCTTGGCACCTCGGCAGCACCGGCGCTGGGTGGCGGGACGCAGGCGAGCCCTTCACGCCAGGCAGCGCCGCAGGCTTTATGTAACAGGGGTGGCTGGGGGGTCCCTGAACTCCCCGCCCCGTCACTAACTGCCCTCCCAAACGCTCCTGCTCCCCTGTCAGTGCCT